CGGGAGGGGGTGACTCCGAGGACCCCAGCCGCCGCGTCTCGGGCCCGGACGATGCGCCCTTTACGGTGGGACGCGGCTGACTTAGCCGTCTGGGAGGAGGGTCGGGTCCTTCCCTCCACCAGCACGTCGGTTGCGGGCTAGTGCTGGGCGGTTTGGTTTCGGCGGGGAGGCGGGAGAGGAGAATTTTGAGGCCTCCCTCCCATGCTCTCAACAGGTCGGCGAGTGCAGAATTGGAGAAGTCAGTCTGGTTCCCCAGCGTGATATCGGGGTGACAGTTGGCAGCGTGTCCCCAGGTCACTGCATCTCAGGGCTGTCTTCTGCGTCCTCGGGGTTCGATTGAAGCCCTAGGAACGTGAAAGCTACAGAGGTTGGGAGATCCAACATTTACGGGCTCACGCAGGCGGTTGGAGCTCAAGGTTTTCCCAACTCCGCTTTATTTTTATCTATTTATTTATTTTTGAGTCAGAGTCTCTGTCGTTCAGGCTGGCGTGCACGTGGCTTGGCATGATCACGGCTCACCGCAGCCTTGACCTACCTCCTGAGCTCGTGATTCTTCTGCCTCAGCCTCTCCAGGAGCTGGGACTACAGGTGCACGCCATCACACCTGGCTAATTGTCTTTTCTTTTTTTCTTTTTTTGTCTCGCTAAATTATTGCCCAGGCTGGTCTGGAACTCCTGGGTTCATGCAATCCTCCAGTCTCCGCCTCCCAAAGTGCTGGGATTACAAGTGTGAGTCACCACCCCAGGTCTGCTGTCTTCACCTGAGCCAGCTGGCTTCCTGAGCTGCTCTCACAATCTCTCCTTACATTCTGTTGACCCAGCAGGGAAGGGAAAGGGAAGGCCTTTGATTTTTGAATCCTGGGGAAGGGCCCGTGGACTGCACAGGTGTGAACTGGAGACAGCAAAGGCCCAAGGACTAGTCCACCCTGGGACCCCAAGCCACACCACTGGGTGACCTGCCAGTCTTTAGTCTTTTGCCACATTTTATGTTGGAATTATCTGCATGAACCGATTCTGGGAAAAGGGTGGGTTTGTTTCAGCGCCATAATCAAAATACATACGTGTTTCCCCCTTGTCCACAGCAAGAGGGCCAGGGATACTCTTCATATCCCTTGGGAAGGCAGAATGAAGAGATGGGAAAACCTGATGGAGAACTGGGAACCAGACAGACTTCCTCATTTTCCTGGAGCCGCTGAGCACTGTGCGGACTGACTTTGAAATCAAGCTGTGTGCCGGGCAGTCAACGGAGTCAAAGATCACAGCTCCCTCTCAGGAGCTACTCCTTGGGGCTGGTGGATCTCAGGATTGGGGTGACTTGTACTGGGCTTCTACAGCCGACAAATCCTAGTGGACACATTTATCTTAATGAGTTCAGATGGGTAGGCACAGCACTCTCTTAACCATCGTCTTGTTTCCCTCACTTGGAACTGGAGTGGGGGAAAGTCACCTTGGTGGCTTCCAGGTGTCCAAAAGTCACTCTGAGTCCTGGGCTTTGCATGGCAGGTCACAAAGCAACACCTCCAACCCACAGAGAATGTTTCAGCAGGATTGAGTTTATGAAATTTTCAGATTTTTTTTAAAAAGGAAAGACAAAAGGTCACTCAGTAGCACATCAGCCATATTAATAGAGCGTCTTCCCCATGGCCAGCCTGTGCCCTATAAGTGAAAGGTCTTCAAGCTAAGACAAACAACTGAACAGATATTATGGAAACCCCAGTGAGTAACTTTGAAGAGTCTAGGATCTTGGCAGTGTCTGAGATTCTCCAAAAGGTTTATATAGTTCCCCAAAGGATTGCATCCAACCTCGCTTAGAGCAGAACCGGGTGGCCCAATAACCTCTTGATTTCTTCTAGGATTCAGTTCAAAAACCTGTGCAGGAAAGAGCGAGGAGAGTGAACCAGATGTGGCTTACAGTGCCTCCTGTTTAACTCCCATTTTACTTTTCAGAGTTCATGGAGAACTCAAGGAGAAGAGCCTTGAAAGGCGACAATGGGGGTGAGAGCGGAGGGTTGGGGAGTTGGGTCCCAGGATTTAGATGGGTATCTCTAAATACATTGGTGTTCTGGCCACAGAGGGCAGCAGCGGACACCAGTAAGCAGAGCTTCCAAGCTGCTTAACATAGGAGCAAGCTGCCTACTTCCCACCGGCTCTCCTTACCTGTCTCCCAACTGTGGCTTGGAGACAAAGGCTATGGCACCTCTCTTCTTTGTAGAACAGGCATGTCCAACCTGCAGCCCATGGGCCACATGTGGCCCAGAACAGCTTGTAATGCAGCCCCACAAAGTCTTTTAACGCCTTGAGAAGTCTTATTATGTGTATACACTATATTATATAATTTATGTGCGAGCCCAAGACAATTCCTCTCTACTCGAAGCCACAAGGCTGGACATCCTGTTGTAGAGTGTACCCTTAGGAGGGATGGGGAGAGATGAGAGTAAACTTACAGACCTGGTGGAGCAGGCACCCAGGATGTGGTGGGCTGGTGGAAGAATGATGGCTCCAGAAGTTCCATCCAAGTAACACTGCGGTCAGGATGTGGTTGGAAATTAGGTTGGAATGGGTGGACTCCAGCAGAGATCTTGGAAGGCTGGTCTATCTCATGAGTACCTTGCAAGTTCCAATGCATTGTCACATGTTGGGGCTGGGGCCAGGGTGGGGCAAGAGAGGCCCCTAGGGTACAGGCTTTAAGGAGGCACTCTCAGGGGCATGCAGATTGCACTCACCCCTGTCCTGCCACATGCATTATCTCACATCATACCCATCTGACCCTTGTCTGGTCATTTAATTGGCTTGGGGGTAGGGAGAGGGTGGGAGGTAGAGAGTGGAGATGGGAGGAGGGATAGGATGGCAGAGGCCATGGCTCCTCTGGGAAGCCTGGACTGAGTCATTCCTTCCCTCACCCTCGCATCCTACTCCATCTAAACGAAACCAACCCCTTTTGTGACTTTACAAAATCTACCATGATTCTCCCCACCCCAGAACTCCAGGACCAGAAAACCATACCCCTGTGTTTGGCTTCAGGCTAACACCATGAGATATCTCACACTGACACGTGCTCTATCTTTTGTTAAACATTGTGACCTCTGACCCCACAAAACCAGAATTTGTTATTTCTCAAAAAGAGTTCTGTCATTTTTTTTTTTTTTTTGAGAAAAGGGTTAAACTTTTTTTCTGCTTGACTTCCTAAGTGCTTACTGGTGAGGAGGATGCAGTGTTAGGGAGTCCCAGCTTCCCACCCCTCACACCTGGACCACTAATGACTTGGAGACTCATGTTTCTATTGCTGGGTCTAGGGATGAGCTTTTGCCCGTGAACATTCTTGTGTGTTTATCACTCTGTCATTCAACCGATGGTGAAAGAGTCACTGGTCCAGGGCCACCGTGATCTGCTGCCCCTGAGAAAACATAAGACTGATTCAGTCCAGAGAGCACTGGTGGTTTCCTCCCCTCCAGGAGGACACAGTCCAGTTGAACACGCACTGCATTTCTTATATTATAAAAACACATTTGCTCCTTCAACAAGCATCTTTTAGTATAGTAATAATCCCCCTTTTTAAAATTTTTGTAGAGATGGGGGTCTTGCTATGTTGCCCAAGCTGGTCTCCAACTCCTGGCCTCAAGCAATCCTTCTGTGTTGGCTTCCCAAAGTGTTGTCAAGAGCCACTGTGCCCACCCCTGATTCCTTTTTTCTCCCCCAAATTATTTTTAAATTGATAAAGATATACAACTGATATACTCTTAAAATGTTTTAATCTGAACATTGAGAGCAAAGTCACATATCTAAACAGTAGTCACGGGAAGAATTTGGTGGTGGCAAGTAGGAGGGTAGAGAGAATGAGTGAATGAGCAGAAAAATCTGGTCCCAGCCTTGTCCACTGCTAGGACCCAGAGAAGCCTAACCTAGACTGGTCCAGCTACCAGGCTGATGGGTGTGACCTCTGAGGTGGCAAAATCACACTCACATGGGAGGAATGGCTAATAGGAAGAACATGCCAGCTCTGCCTGAGAGAGAAAAAGGCATGAGCAGAAATGAAGTTGCTC